AAACTTGCAAATTCTTTTCTAACATGCTCTTAACTATCATGATGTCTCTCCTTGTTTCCTGCTGTTTTTCCTTGCCTTTCCCCATCGTGCAGTGGTGATACCAGATTTACAGAACATGTGGGTGAATCATTCCTTTGACATACAGGTGTGGTGCCAAGATCTCCACTGGCATCTTCTTTGGCTGTGACCTGGTGAGCTGGCTGCTGCAGGTCGGCCTTGCCTCCGACCGCGGGGAGGCCGTGGTGTACGGGGACAGGCTGCTGCGGGGCGGCGTGCTGCAGCACATCTCCAACGAGCTGGAGTTCCGCGACGAGTACCTCTACTACCGCTTCATCCCCAGAAAGCCACCCCCGCCCGACAGCCACTGAGCTGGGCAGGCAGGGCGCTGCTAGTTGGGGTGAGTGTCACCACCTCTTCTGCCTTCACTACTGACATCGGAAATATTTCGCAGAGAACTGTGTTATTCTCCCTTGTAACATTAAGAGATGTGGTTCTACTTGTGTCTATCCTGAAGAAAATGGTAGAAAGTTATATTTAGTCAGCATTCCAGCCAGAATGCTACTAAACAAAACCAGATGCTCTGGATTTAGAACATTTTTTTCCATTTTGAGCAAAACAAATTTTACTAAATGGTATGTGTCACTGTTGTATTTTTGAGGCATTATTACTGCAGCTTTAATACTGAGGCCACAGCAAGGAAAAAAAATCCCATGAAAGGTGTTTTTCATGTTGCTGGATGTTTTAGTGTGATGAAGTATTGATGCCTGTTTACAGTCAGGCTTCCCCTTGACTCCACAAAAGTAGGATTTCTTCTGTCATACCTCAGGTTTTACTACTCTGCTCTTGTCTAACACCAGGAACATTTTTGAGCTGCTTACACCTGAGATCGGTTGGGTTTTTTCCTCCCTTAAAGCTAAAATACTCCAATTAAAAAGACAGAATTGCTGTGACAATGTTTCCAATATCAGGGGATTAAAGCTGGGCAAATACCAAGTGGAATAAGTAATAAGTAATGGTTTTGTACAAATCTACCAAATCTTAAAACCGTAGAAATATTCAGTGCTCTCCCAAAATAGGAAATCATATAATGGAATAAACAATTTATTCTGAAATTTTGCCTTATGGTGGTAGTGACAGCTTTATCAAGAGCAGATTTTTACATTCTGAAATTAGCCTTTACAGTTTAAATCAGAAGTGCCACCCTCAAATAAAGATTTTATGAAAGCCTTGGTTACATGTGCAAGTCAAGACAAAATTATTTTTCAAATCTTAAAACTTCTAACATTAAATTAATGACTTTTAAATCTAATATATAAAGAGTCCTAAGTGCACATCTGGATTAGGGTTTAGAGTAGCTAAACATTCTAGATTTTTGCTGATTTCCTAACACAGGTTTCTATTAAACCTCAGGTATCCTCCTACAAGTTAATTTAGTGTCACTCACATTCCTGTGCACTAAAGGCAGAATCTGAGGTGTCTTCTGCAATATTTTGAAAAGGGTAAAGACAAAGTGTTGTATCTGATAGCCATTATGCTGCCCTTTTAAAACTGCAAGAATAGCATTTATATGTCCATATAAAATTTTATGTAGTGAGGGAAAGAAATCCAGATATTAAAAATTATTTGCTCAAGCATATGAATGTCTTCTCCCCCTTTAAAAAAAAAGTCTTTCCCTTCTTTTTTCCCGTTTTTTAAAGTACATGGATTTTAATTACAGTCCCTTTTGCATCTATTTTGTATTAAGAATTAAAAGTCATTTTAGTAGCATAAGCTACTATTCAACAAGCAGTTGATTTATAGTTGCTATAATTTCCTGCAAGCCATAAATTGAAAAAATAATTCCTTTTACTGTCAGTCTGGTTGCAGTGTGCACAGAAACATAACATCCTGCTGCTTATGTATGCTGTACAACCTGGTATATTTTAATGTTTTCCATCAACAAGATAATTGATGTTTGTATCAGGCTGTGGACACAAAGGAAAATGTTTGTGTATTTCCATTATGAATGTTGAAGACAGCTGCATCAAATATTTTGGAATAATTAGATATATGCGACTTAAGAGCAGAAACTGCAAGTATGTCTGGCTTCTAAATACTGCAACTTGTCAATAAATCTGCTATTTGATTTCAGAGTTCTGAGCTGTGATGTGGTGTGTGAGGGCTACATGTCAAGGTTTACGGCAAATGTGTTTTTCTGAGAGATTTGTTAATGTGGCTCTTGGGTTTCAGTCCTGGTATTCCTTAAATCCATCCTTGGTCCTTTACAAGTAGGCAGAGCACTTCTTAATGGGTTTCCACCATTAAGATACCTCCATAGTAGAAGTGTGCCACATTCTCATCTACTTACCAAAGACACTTTTTAAAATTAATTCTTCAAACATTTGAGAATTTGACCTTAGGGCAGTTTTACAGTTCTATTTATAGTCATTGTTCTTGCACTCTTGTCTTTCTCATTTGCATCATAAAGTCCTGCTTCCCTTTTTTTTTCTATAATGGTTATGCTTTCCCCTAGATTTGAACACAACAAATCTGTTTTAAATAAGAAATTGCTCAAAATTTCTGCATAGAAAAGACTCTGTTACAAATCTAATACAGAGGACATCTTTGATTACCAACCAACCCCGCATTCTCTTAGATTTACTGCTACAATATTGTGACTGCTGATACCATACCCATTGGTCTGATGAGTCTGTGATGGTTAATAAATAAAGTAGCTAGGAATGAAATACAAATATTTTATTTCTAAATCACTGGGTACTTCTGGAAGCCAATAATAGACTTCGGATAGTTTTGGAAAGTTAAGTAACCCTTTTATCTGGTAAATATTTGCTTCCACCAAGGAGCACTGGCAAGTTTTGAATGGTTGACAAGCTGATGTTCTGTCAATAGTTTATATACAGTTATGTGGAGTTTTGGTAGTTAGAAACAGCTTTGTTTTAAAGAAGTGGTCACTGATACATTGACTTCCTTTATTTTGAAGGTGGGTTAGTTTGGGATGAATCTCTTGGAGGCTAAGTTCATGAAAATATTTATTGAACAAGTCTAGAGGAATGCCAGTGAAAAATTGGATCTTTTTTCTAGGACTAATCTCAAAATAATTGTCAAAATGAACAGGGATGGATGTAGCACTTAGTTTTCTAGTACGAAATTTGAGTACATTTTTATTTCAATAATGATCCTTCATAAAGCTCTAGACCTTTTAATGATACATTCATAGGTGAAAACCCATGAGAAGGTTGCCCTCTAGGGGACATTCTGATTCTTAATTGTTGTTTTTTTTTTAAATATAAGGTTGTGGGAGGGAGGATTATTTGTTTCTCCTGATCCCATCTTTATTTTCTGTTTTTACACTGCGTGTCTTCTAGGAGAATGAAATCCCAAGGAAAAAGGTACTGAAATATCCTATACTCTGTTGACCATCACTTTGATCCAGTCTCCACACATTACATTGTTTTTACTTTGTATCCTGTGGTCCAGTAAGGAAAAAGCAACACATAAATAAGAGGCACAGTTGGACTGGATCTGCCTGTGTTAGGACTGGACCAGTGTGCTTAACCTCATTCATTGCCACCCCATGATTAAGTGGCCAAGAAGTTTGCTTAAAGTCCTGATCCAACTTCACTGCTGTTCTTCCTGGATAACTTCAGTCTTTGCACTGTACCATAAAACTATTTCACTTGGTTTGCTGCCTGAAACAACAGTTTCACCTGGAATTTACTGATGCTTTGAAGCTATCAGTGTAGAACAGCTCATGATCCAAACCAGGAAAAGATACGTAATTGTAAGATGTGGACATCCCACAAGGAAAACAGATAAATACAGCAATTTTTTATTAAATCTATCTTCCAGTTATCAAACTGGAGTATTGAACTTCTGCATTGAACCACTGTGCTACTAAGAAATTACTGCCACGTGCTACACATTAGGTCACTAGAAATAGAAAGTTCATGAGCCTTTCCTAACTCAGTAGTTTCTTGCTGTGAATCTGAACACAGAATCCTAAATTAATTTCTACTCTTATTGTAGGATCAGAAAGAATAAATTTTACCAGGCTCTTAATTTTCATATTAATTTTGCAAACTTCTATTGTCTATCTATTCTTTATATTTAACTTTTTTTACCAGTGGGGTATTGAACAATTTACAGAATGAGAAACTGCATGTGAAAAATTGTCAAAGAATGATCTTTCTGCGGTTTGCTGTGTCTGTGGGGATGCAGTGTCATGTCCCACATTATTGCTGCAGCTCTAATGCACCATTTCATATTTTCCTCTGAAGGTTTGCAGAAGTGCTGCATTTTGAGTGCTTTTTTTTAGTTGCTTTTTCTTAGTCATGCTTGTTATCCTCACTTATTGATCATGAGGTAAAATCAGTCTTTCTTGTTGTTTGTTTAGTTTGCCCCCGCCACAGATAATAAAAGTGGTGTCATATATTGATCATTACTTTTAAACAGGATCAGGAAGGAAGAGTTTTTGGTAAGGCAACAAGTTTGATTAAATTAAGTCCACATTCTATTAACTTTGGCAACAAAAAGGTCATGGTTTAAAAGGCTTTATATAAAATGAAAAAATTTAAAGTATTTTAAGTGTTCTGCTGAGTACATGTATATACTTGCATAGCCCAACCTCTTCCTTTATAGTTGCCCAATTTTAAAAAGTAACAATTCAAGAAACATTTTAGAACTCCTCCATGATGTTATAAAGTGCACTGTAAAATTAATTTTACAATAATAATCTTGTATATAAATAAGTTTATTTTTCGCTATCAGGGTGGGAAAAATAGACAGGAAAGTGAAATCTGTGGGAAACTTACATGATGTTTGCACTGCTGAATTCCATGTAATAAGATTTCACAATTACTCACAGCAAAATATTATTATTGTAAGTGTGATTTGTTTCTAATATACCTTGAACTCTTAGTCTAATTTTACATTGAAGGAGTAGAAGGTCTGTATATGAAATATATCTTAGAATAGTTTTGCCAAACAACTGAGTATCAATCTTACTTGGTTTTTGTGTCACTTTCTTTTTTCTTCAGGGTTCATCATAGCTTCTACATTTTAGAAAGTCTTCAGCACGGCCATTTTAATTCAGGTAGTCTGAACCTCTGCTACAATTCTCCTGACTATAAAAGCTAAAACTGCATTCTCCAGAGCTGAGTTAGTGTTCTTCATTCAGAGATGGGGCTGTTGACTAATTTAGTCAAGCTATTTCATTCTGATTGCATCTAATTGCATTGTTTGTTAGCAAAATCAATCTGCTGACAGCTTTGTGCCATGTACAATGCCACTGCCTGGCTCTTAGGAGCCTTTCCAGCATTCTTCTTTATACTTGAAAGCCATTTGTCCTAAATATGAATCTGCATCTTTAAAACTGTCCATGCTATGTGATACACTGAAAACAGGATGTTAATCTATTTAGCTTCTTCATTAGAAAACCCAATTATAATTCTAATTTTACCACATTCAAATAATATTCTTAGCCATATATTTTGAGTTCTTCTTCTACACACTGTGAAAAAAGATTAACCACTTGTTTAGTATCAAGGCATCCATTTTGCAGGATTGATTCCATTTGACTTATCTTCTGTTTCTCCAACTCCTGTATCTCTTTGAGCATTTCTTTACCTTTGTCCTGCAAAAAGAAACATTTATTTCACTAAAAACTATCCAGAGCATGTTGTAATCACCCTAACAAAATTCTGTTCTACTGTCCTTATTTTAATCTTTTAAGAGTTTCTAGGGTCGGCATTTATGTTGGTAGAAATCAGTATCATGACAGGTGTTCTCAGATATCTTTCCTAATAACTAGCGCTCACTTCTTCCTTGTCTGACAGACTGAAGGAATATTAAAGCTCCTTTAGGTATTAGCTATCAAAAAGGGCCATCTTACTTTTAAGATGATGTATCTGTAAATAGGAGAGATTTTACTGCTAAAAGTAAGCAGCTACCTCCCTGCTTCACTAAAAGTTCAGTGAAGTTGTGTTCAGCTACCTTTGTCATCTTGTTTCCTTTCCTGTCCATACCAAGCCATGAGCAAAGGCAAGCTCTCCTGTCCACCTGACACCAGGGACCTGAACAGCTGTAAGAACTCTTGGCAGAGTTGTGTATTTGCCTGTGCTGCTGGGGCATTTCCCCATTATGTGGCTGGTGAGGGAGCCTGTGGGGGGCTGCTCCTCTCCTGGGGCTCAGCCTGCCTGCACAGCACGGTGCTGGTTGCAGTTTCCAGTGTCAGGAACACGTGCCTGCCAGATGCCAGCACTCTGGGCTTCTGGGGCACTGCACTGTTCTGTGCAATCCATCAAAGGCCATTCACTGCCATCACATTAACAAAATGGGAGCAAGGACCTTATATAAACCACCTGCTTGCATTGAAATCTAATTGAATCAATGTACCTTGGTAGTTTCCATAACTACAGCAGCGCTTTCATGTTTTTTATAGAGCTCATGTCTTCGATCTGGCTTACTCTGAAAACGTGGTTGCTTCTTAACTGGATCATCAGGACCAAATGTAGGGGATGTAGTTTTTAATAACGGAGTAATACCGGGCACAAAAATGAAAGGCTTGAATACAGATCTAGAAAGAAAAAATAGAACAGAGATCCTTTACTGACACTGTTTTGTTAACATTTTTGAGTCAGTAAATTGCTGTATTTTTTCCCATTCTTCTACTTGCTTCTTTTAAGAAAAAATTATTAAAAAACCATCTAATGGTGTTCAAGTCATTGTCACAGCAGTGTTCCATTAAGTAGGTTGGTAGATACCATTAATATACATAATGTGCATTTATGTTCCTCCTACATTTTGATTGTGCTTTTTCAGGGGGAAAAAGAAAACCAACCCAAAGCAAAAAGGAATATAACTAGGCAAACTGCAACACTTTTTCATTTAGATATTTACAATATTTTGTCCAATTTACTTGCTGCTACATCACCTGGCAGGATCTGGAGTTCCAGTAAAGAAGTGAATACAGGGCAGATTAGGCTGCTGAGGCAGTACAGACACCATGCTGCCAGTTGTCATAAATCCACCTTCCATGTTAATGCCACTCTCTTTGTCACGAAGAATTTCCATCATTATTTCAGAAGTGATAGATCCTGTTCAAGATAAAATACAATTATTTAGCCACAGAGCTAATATAATACCAAGTGAATAACATGTTCCCCACAACTGACTCCTTTTGGCAATGCCAGTTTTAGTTTGTGTTGGCAGGGGGAAAAAATCATCCTAATGGAAACCTTAATATGAAATACACTTGTATTTGCTTTCCCCAAAGTATTTATTTCAAAGAGAGGTGATAAGAACATGCCTTAAAAAATGGGGAGTAGAAAGACAAATGGTATTTGCCTGAAAGGTAAATTTCATAGGGCTAGCAAATGGTCATTCACAAACTAATTTTTCAGATGAAAAGTAGTAGCTTGGATTAAATGCTGAACTTTGAGCTATGGAAGTAAGATAGATCTTTATAATACTGGTTGATATTTGAACAGAGTTAATACCACTATGATGCTTTGAAGTTATAAAAAAAATAACAACCATGCGTGGATTTTGTGTGAAACTTTGACAATGAAACACCAAAATTGTCACTTGTTTTGGAGGGGCTTTTTGGTGAGTGGGTTTTTAAAATTTTCATCCTTTTCAAGGAGGCACTGGAGTGGCATTACATTCTATGCTCAGAAGCCACAGTAGTACATCTATTTGTAGAAAAGTCTTTGTCAGCAAGCTGTGTGAGGTTTATTGCCAAGTATCTATGAAAATAATTCCTGCTCAGGAGGAACAAAACCCTTTCCACATCAGCCTGTTCAGTGATATCACTGTTGCTGTACAGTGTATGCTGAAGCTCAGATACTGACATGGTATCACCCAACCATCCAATATTCTAACAGGCAGCTCTTGCAGGATGGATTTCTTTGCACATTTGGTGTACCAGTAGAGGGTATGCTTATGGCAGAAATACATTAGTTCACTCACTCTTTATTTTTTATTGGAAGCTATAGTCTACCACTTTACTGTTTTAGTGTTTCCCTTACTGAGTTCTAACTGCAGAATTTTTTTTTTAACTACTTTGCCGTTTCCTCTTAAAATAGTTACTCTGCTGCTAAGTTTCATGTCTCCAATAATACTTTTTCATACATGACCCAGTATACATGACCCTGTTCCTCTAGACAGACATGCAGCACTACATTTCAGCAAGAAGACACACTTAAGTATTCCTATATTTGCCTGGGAAGGTCAGAGAATTAAAGAAATCAGCAAGCTAGATGAATCAAAGGAATTAAAAGAAGCAACGGCCATTTTGTCAGCTACAACTTGGCAACCTGTCCAGCAGGGAAGAAGGTAATGCATGTTTTACACTAAACTCTATTATTTTGTATGCTTGAAATACATTCCCTATTTTTTGAAATATGAATAATATTTCTCTAAAATGGCCCTCACATAGTAGGCAGCCTGGAAAACCCCCAGAACTGTAATGCCACTGACCGAAAAAGCAGGGATGGGTAGATGAAGAAACCAGTGATTTTACTGAGGCTGTAAACCAAATAGCTTTCAGTTAAGGCATCTATTTAAAATATATCTAAACAAAGTGAACCATATGAGACTGATAACCTGAACACCTAGTGGGATTTTTAAAATGGCTCAGGTAAATGCCTGAAAATGGGGATTTAGAATGAAAACACAGATACAATCTCAGCATTGTTATAATACAAGTAAATACAGGTATTATGAAAATGCTTTCAGTAATCAGAACCTGCAATTCCCAAAATGAATGCAGGATTTACATGATCACTAGAGCAAGACAGCAAAAGTAATTCACTTTGATGCATTAACTAAGTGCTAAACCTGGTCTGGCAGAGTTCAGCCAAATAAATAAAAGAAACAAAGGGGTGCAATGTAATCCCGATTCAGATTAATTACTTCACATGAGCATATGAATACATCTACAGCAAAGACCTGCTAGATGGATGCAGTCAAAAGTGAAGTAATAGGTTCATTCTTTAGGAGTCTGAAAAGTAAGTGTTTGCATTAGTGACTGCTTAGAGTACAGAAAATTATTTTGTTCTGCTCTTGGCATGTTTTAGTAGACTACATAAGTTTAGAGTAGCCATTACAGTGAAACAACAAAGAATTAAAAATTAATGTCAAAAATGAATGCAAGGTATGTATTTGAATGCTGTGCTGTTGCCTTATACGAATGGTACCTGACTGAAGCTGTTCATAAGCTCTTCGTTCTTTGTGGCTGCAAACTGCTGGGAATCTGTTTCAGCCTCTAGTTTTTTTCCTTAGCAGTACAGTAATAATATGTAGCCTATCAAAATGTTTCAGAACAGGTCTTACAGGGCATTTAGTGGTATGGTCATAATGTGACCTCTCAGGGTTGTTACTGTAGCTCTGTATGTTTGATATTTGACCCTTGTTTTAATTTTTCCTCCTCAATAAATTAGAAAAAAATTGTATAGAAACTTCCAAGTTCAGTGCTTCTCTTAGGAAAAAAGTTATTCCAGTAAGTTGTGGTTCACCAAGTCGTGTGAATGATTGGCTGCATCAGACATATAATAATTTATTATTTGAATTAATATAGTTTACTAAATATTTTCCATATCTTGAAAAAAAATTCAAAAGGATACCTTTGTGTTTGTTCAGAAGTTTATAGCCTTCACAATATCGGCCTCCAGATGTGGTCATTCTGGCAGTATTGACATAAGAATATGTGGCAGCAAAATCAAATTCCTTTTCCCCATCCCACCAGCCATTGCTTTTGGCATATTCCTTCAGTTTTGGGTGTTCTCTGTCAATCTTGGTTGTGATAGAGAGCTGGTTGGAAATATTCCGTATGCCTCCTGTTTATAAGTTGCAGAAAAAATTGTTTTAGTACATTGAATGATTTTTCTTGGTATTTTGTTTACAATTAGCTTAGTAAAGCAAATTAGCCCCAAAGAGTTTCCTACAAGATCAGTGAGTCTGGTGGTTTATTTCTGGCCCTCTCTCCCCAGCCAGATGTATTTTTCTGATTGACTTTTCATGCCACTCATTTCTGACTCATTTGCTTCTATTGCCAGCCTTGTATTTCAGGTTCTATCCTGATTATTCCCACCTTTACATTCTTCTTCTGAGAAATCCAAAGATCGAGTTTGTCCTCCTAAGTTCACTGGAAGAATCAGCCACTTCATGGCCCAGTACACCAATCCTGTTCCCAAATGAAATTGTCATGGATTGCTACCATCCTTAAGACCACGTATACTGGTGTCATTCTCATGCTGACTTTCTTGCTGTCCTCTGTTTTCCAAGTGCAGGAGTGGTTACCTCTGGCTCTGAAAAGGCCCCTGTCACCCAGCTACTCCACACTCATGCCCCAGGAAGCAATGCCTGTTCTTTACAGGCACATGTATGCACTTCTCATGTTAGTTTGATGCCTTAATGAAATGGTAAATCAAAACTGGAGAACTCCAAGGGGTCATAGCACTTGAAATGTTTAGAACAAAGAGCATCATCCATACCTTCTACTTTTTCTGCTGCCCAGTATTTTCCTGATGTCTCCAGCACCCACGCTTCCTTTCTGTCAGCTATCAGAAAACTGTTGTGGTATGTAAATGCCATGTTGCTCTCCATACAGTTTCCTCCCTGGCCATATTTTTCCAGCAAATCAACTATGACACTAAGAGCCTTTTCAGCTGTGTCCGCTCTCTCAAGTCCAAGCCTAAAAGAAAAGGAAAATGTTATTTTTGGAACTATGAACTCTGTATAGGACTATTCAGCCTGAGTATTCCAGTTGACCTGGAATGGTATTTTCTATATGCAGCTGCCAGTTGTATGATCTGGTAAGGAAAAAACACAAGTCAGGTAAAGGGCTTCTTTGATGTGGGTCCTCTATGAACTTGACATGGGGAAAAACACCAAATGGAAATACAGAAAGGCAGGGAGAGGGGTCCTACAGAATGCTTACAAGTCCTGTGCAACTATTGGACTGGGGGGAAAACTACCAAAAGAATTGACTGACTGCTGTAGGTCAATGTAATTTACGCTGGCACCTGTAGTGTAGGAACATGAACTTGTTATTTACATGGAAATAGGCAGCTGAGACCAAAACTTAAAAATAATGTGTGAAAGATGGGGGAATAGGGAAAGGAGTACAGACCCTGTGAAAAGGCCCAAACAGTAGTGCCTGAAGTCCATCTGCCTGTGCTCTTGAAAAAGTCTTGTTTCCATTTAGTATAAATTTTATAGAAAGAAAAACGTTTGCTAATTTTTTGACGAATTCTAGTCTAGTGTGATACTTATGGGGCCCTGGCAGAAATCTAGTGCTTGTGCCAAGAAATACTTACTTTTAACCGTGGCTAGAACAGTGGAAGGAGTGCCTTCTGAAAGTGAAAGTACTAGTTCCCCTTAGAAGTCTAACATGTTTCCATGTAAATTCCGAATCCGGTACCATGTACCAAAAAGGAGAAAAAACCAAACCAAACCAAACCAAACCAGCTTGTGCACACCTTACGAGGTCCATGCCGAGGAGAGCTTCCCCATCGCAGACCTCTTCCCTGCCCCACACGGCCTCGTTGCCGATGCACACGCCGTGCTCGTTGGCGCCCATCTCGGCCCCCCAGAGCCAGGAGGGGCGGCTCAGGACCACGGCGTGGGTCCTCTCCACCTGCTCGATGCTGATGTAGGTGCACTGCAAGAGGGCAGAGCACACTGGAGTCACCGTCCCCGCTCCGCCGGCCGAACCGCGGGCTGAGCACGCACACAGGGGCTGACAGCGGCGTTCTCGCCGCCCCCGCAGGAGCGCTCCCGCCCCGCGCCCTCACCTCCAGGACGGCGCCGGGCGGGTGCGCGGCGGCCGGGAAGTGCACGACCTCCTGCACCTCATCTGCCGGCCGGTCCGAGTTCTTCCCGAACACCACTCGGCCCCCGGGCGCGGCGGGCGGCAGCGCCACGAAGGTGTCGCACGACAGGGGCGGCGGCCGGGGGACCATGCTGAGGGCGGAGGGCCCCTGCGCGGCGCGGGCCCGTGGCGGACAGCGGCGGCTCGGGCGCTGGGCGGTGCCCGCGGAAGGCCCGCCCGCCGACCCGGAAGGCCCGGCCGAGGCCGTCCCGGAGCGCCGCTGTCCCTGTCTCTGTCCCTGTCCCTGTCCGTGCGGGGGCCGGCGGCTCCCCGTCCGCCGCCGCCGCCATGGGGAAGTCGTTCGCCAACTTCATGTGCAAGAAGGATTTTCACCCCGCCTCCAAGTCCAACATCAAGAAGGTGAGTGGGGCCGGGGATGCCCCGGCGGGGACGGGTTGCCGGTACCGTAGCGGCCCGACCAGTGCTCCTCACCTCGCTGGTGTGGCACCGAGCAGTGCTCCTCACCTTCCTGGGGTGGCACCGGTGCTGGGGCAAAGAGGGTGGAGGAGGCAGCGAAATAGTTAAGAAATACGTGCAGCTTCGGGTTTTCTTGTTCCCAAGTGTGTATGACTGTCGCATTTTCCTGGCTCGGGCTATTCAGCACCTGATTCTCAGAGCAAATAGGCGCTGTAGCCCGTCTAGGAAAAGCCCCCTGTCCCGATGTGCCCGTGCTTTCCCAGTATTCCACACCTGCCTGAGCTGGGGGCAGGTGCCCTCTCCAGATCCGTGGCGCAGGGCAGGAGCCCCCATGGGACCCTGGGGCTTGCGGTCTGCAGAGACTTCGCCGAGAAAGGGAAACCAGTGGCACCCACATGGTGTCTTCTGAGCCTACTTTTCCCTTTGAGCTACCACATTTTCTCCTGTCTTTTCAGTGTGCCAGTGTTGTTGGAACTTGAAGTTTCTCAAAATTAGTGCTGTGGGAAGTTAATTTGTTAAAATACTGGATGAAAATTATGTATTTTATGCAATTAGAATGGTGATCATCCCTTGTTAAGCATTTTCAATTGGGTAAACTAGTTATTTATATACTAATATATTTTGTAATAGTTTTTGTATTTAAGTGGAAGCTTAATTATTTTAACTAGGTATGGATGGCAGAACAGAAAATCTCATATGATAAGAAGAAACAAGAAGAATTAATGCAACAATATTTGAAAGAACAGGAATCCTACGATAACAGGTGAGAATTGGTTTAAGATTGCTCCCTTCTTCCTCCTGTCTTGTTTTCACAGTAGTGAAGGTGATATTGCTATGAGCAATTGAAGTACAGCTCCATTGACCATAGTAGTAGGAGAAGGCAGTGATTCATTAAGTGATGTCTGATTAGCAGAAGTCACAAGAACTTCTTTAGTGGTTTGTGCCTGCCTTCTGACTAATTTCAAAATATGCTACATTTCTCAGAACAGTCAGTAACCTTGAATAATACATTTGTATCACACATCTGTTTTTTGTAGCTCTGGACGTACTACTTTTCAGCTGAGATTGAAATGTGTGATTTTTGTACACAATGGATCATGCAAAGTCATTGACTGCTCTCTCAGGTTTTTTGATACTCAGATTTTGTTACTCACATTAATTAATGAAAAAATGCTAGTTATCACAACAATTTCATACTGTTGTTTTTGGTTTTGTTTTTGTGAGTGTTACCAATGTGACTGTTTTGTGTGTAACACCCCAAACTGCCCTTTTTATTTAGGTTGCTTATGGGTGATGAGCGTGTGAAGAATGGTCTGAATTTCATGTATGAGGCCCCACCTGGAGCAAAGAAAGGTATTGCAGTTTCGTGATTGTGAGCAGATAGTACTGCAAAGCTAAAAACCTTCTGGAGAAACAAACATGATGTATTCAATTTTAAAATAACATGTTCATGGTGAGATAATGATAGGAGGTGTGAATTTTTAATTATTTCTGTGAGAATGTGCATAGATATATATATAGATATATAAATATGTATATATATATATATACAGTATGTAATAATTTTGATCTCACAAACTTTAATTTCTTCAAAAGGAATGGTTGGGGTAGGGGTTTTTTTAAACAACAGTTCAATATGAAGGGAAGACCAGATAAATCTCTTTCCAGGAAACAGCATAAACTATGTCCTCAACCAAGGATTCTTCTTTAGCCAATTATAAAGCCATCAGATGAGGAGGACTGGACCTTACCAGGGCAATGACTCAGACAACACAAACCTGTATTTTGGCCTGCTCTCCTTTACAGAAAGAGCAGGTTGCTTTTGTTTCAAAGTAATGCCCATAATTCAGCTTGATGCTTGTCAAACATAGGAAGTACCAGAGCAAGGAATTAATTATCAGAAGTTACAAAAATAATAAATGCTGAAATTCAGTAGTCAGAAGTGCTACCTGTGTTTGGTGAGTCTATGATTCTTCAGCGATGTCATAAATGGAAGTTTCTGAATACCTGGTGGACACTCATATCAATCACTTAATTTTAGCAAGATCTGAATGTAAGTGAAGAACTAAGAAAATGTATTTCCTCTGAGAGAAAACATGTTTCCTTTAAAATGCATCTTTCCCATTTGCATGAAATCACTTGGAAATGCTTGGATGGACTCATTCTTTGTAGACCAAGTTTTGCAATTATTTAACTTTAGAAGCTCTAATAGTAATCCCTTAAACTTAGAGGAAATGCAATTTCAAAGTAGCAATTATTGCTAAACTTTTTTTAAAATATCTTTAAAGTAAATATTGTTGCTACTCTTGCAAAAAGTGAAGTTTTTATTTGTGTAAGAAATCAGCGTAGTTTTAGAAGGTGATTCTGGATTTACAGGATTTAAAGCTATATACTAGAGGCTGCTGATTTGTAAGTGCACTCTATATAAAGCTGCTTCCTGAGTATTTGCACTATTGATTAGTACAAACCATAAAATGTTTTTTCTTTTGCTCGGAGGGGGAGGGAAACACCATCTGGATTTTACATATATAATTAATGCATCATTTATTTTCTTTGCATGCTTCCTGAAAATTCAAAGAGGAAACAAAAGAGGTATTTCATTACATTATTTCTTTATGTTTTCTTCTTGCTTGCTTAAAATGTATTCTGAAAAACTTCAAACTTGCCATGTTCTCTGTTTTATAGCAAGAAGGAGAGACTGAATACAAATTTGAATGGCAAAAAGTTGCTCCTCGAGAAAAGTAAGATATCTGGATTTTTTCATATACTTTTCTTTTTGTCCCTTTTCCTCCCTGTTTTATTTTTGAGTAGGTCACTTGTGTGATCTTTTCATGTCCTGACACTTAATTAGGAAAATCTGTTAACCTGGAACTATTTCCTTGCTTAGCTTTATTTTCATTTGATTTTTACATCCATATTTGAACACACATTAAAAACAACATTTACAGGAATTATACCTCTGAAATGGGTGCACACTTATCAACAAAAGGTGACTTTGTATATATGATGTCTTTTCAAAAATAGTGGTGAATGGAATATTTGTTTTCTCTTGTGTTTGTGCACAGGTACGCTAAGGATGATATGAATATCAGAGATCAGCCCTTTGGCATCCAGGCAAGTTACACACATTTTGTTCTGTGGGTGTCAAATGTTGTTATACAGAACTTTCACATGGGTTCTCTTAAATTTATCACCTCTTTTTCAGTGGCTTTAAAGGCTTCTCTTATGCCTAATGACACAGATTTCTGTAAAGGTTCAGCTACACTGGTGACTAAATGGTGTCAATTGGCTTTGTTGCCCTTAGGTGCGGAATGTGAGATGCATTAAATGCCACAAGTGGGGTCACATAAACACTGATCGAGAATGTCCCTTATTTGGCCTCTCTGGAATCAATGCAAGTTCAGTCTCCAGTGATGGTTCAGGTAGGCAGTGAATGACTTTTAAAGTTCTGGTTGCACATATATGGAGGGAGCTTATCATGTTTAATTTTAGAAGGTTTAAGTTTATCATATTTCAGAGAGTTGATGAAATCTGGAAAACTGTGAATTCCAAATGTAGGATCCACAAGTTTGAGTTAGTTATTTCATATTGCAGGGACCTGATCTTCTAATTAGTAACTCATTTTAAAAAGATTCTGTATTGCTTTGATCCTATCCATGCCTAAAACTGAGAAGCTGCCATGAGATGTTAGATCAGAATGACAAAATTTGTGTCACCAAAAAAATGGATTGTCACAGACTGTCCCAGTTCAGATTTAAGCAAACTGCTTAGATAAGATGGAATATATCATTATATCTTTGTTAATCTCTTGGTAAAAGAGAGACACTTGTGGGCTTTTTTTTAATATGCAATTGTAGAAGTGGATAAGCAATTGAAACCTTGATTTCCAAATGTCTGGTTTCCCTTCATCCGACTTTTTTGCTTCTCAACCTACAATTTTCTTTCTTCTATTTGCTCTCCTGTTACTTGAAGTCACACAGCAGTTAGTGCTAGATTATGTTTGAAGAAGTGGATATTAGCATTCAAATTGAACATTATTTTTTTTACCTACAGTACATTTTTTTCTGTGAGTTAACCCAAGTTGTAATGCTTTTAAGTTTCTTAAAATTGGGGCATGCTAAGGAAACATCAGGTTGCATTGGTGACTTTTCATCCTTGCTGTGCTCTAAAGTCACCTGTTGTGTCTTGGGTTTTCTAGGGACACCAGTACATTGATTTGCACACACTCCATGGTTTCTGCTTTTCTTCTGTCTTCATTCAGATTATCTATTTTATGTAGCAGCTCTTAGTTTTGTTACATATTTAGGCTACCAACAAGCTTGTTTTTCAGATTTGAGTCACACAGATACATAGTTTCTTTAGGATGAGGCCTAGAAGAGTTGAGTTAAAGGAGATGGTGCCCCTTACTCTCCTGTCTTTTTAGGCATTGTCTGATGATTATGCCATTGTACTACTCAGCCTGTAGTTGACTTGCTCAGTTGGTTATAAAGTTAAATCACTTTCTTGCATGATTCTTATCTTAGAAAAAAAACTGTGCTTAGAGCATTTGTTGGTGGTAGAATTATATTATGCAGCTCTTGCCCGTCAGAGATGCTTTTGTGCTACAGAACTGACTATCCACACCTCAGTTCAAATGATGTGGGTCAGTTTTGGGGGTGTTTGGTTGAAAAAGCAGAAATTTTTTGTTGTGCTTGCACAAACCTGAATATGCATTCCTTATTATTTGTTCTAGTGTAATACAGA